TAGTTGAATCTAGTATGCTTGATTGATGAATAGCTATACTTGATGAGTTGTTAGATCTTAAATGGAATTTATTATGTAATCGATTATGTCTTTGATTATGTACAAGGGACAGCAGTAGAATCTAGTCACAGGAAAAACAATTAGAAGTAGTATTTCTAATTCGTGGAGGATTTGATAATCCGTATCTGTAGAGTCTATTAGTCGATCTGTGTTGGTCATGTGTAACCAATGTGTGTGAACCACAGTGACTCTTGCGTCAGCTGTTCAGGGCCTGCGCGGCTCCGAAGTGTTCTTCGGACGAGCGCTAGTGTGCCCTGTTTGTGCTAGCGGGCCTGTACGATGTCGAGTGGTTAGTTCGAGAGAGCGTAAGTGTGCCCGATCGACAATAGCGAGAGATGTGACTTGTTTATTTATTAATATAAAGATGTACCTGGTGAACTGCAGGTTGGATGGATTCGATGCTGTGTATGTAATGTTTCCCTTGATTACAATTCCATTGGCTTCACTGTAATCACTTATTAAAGAATTGATTATCTTTTCTATGCACGCGGGTACTCTTTGCTATGCTGCTAAAAATGTGGCTACGCAGCGTCTTTACAGTATACTTGCACTGACCGGCAGTTACGCTTGATGGAGAGCGAAGTGATTTTACGAATGAGCCTCGCCTCATGGCGCGTTGCGCTTAAATGTGCATGCGGCGTCTTCAGCGCCAGCAACAGTGTCGATGCGCGTCCCTTCCAGAAATTTTCCTTTGGCGTGAGAAAACGAAGCTTCTAGAAGTTTCGAAGGTGTCCTTTTTTTGTGAGTGCTGGCAGTAAATAATATTTCAAATCGTAAACTTGCTCGGACTTGCCGAGTTTTGTTTGTAACATTTTCTCGAGTGCCCGCCTCGGTCCGCACGTGCGGATCAGCCTAGGCGCACGTGGTGGCCAGCCTTGCTGCACGCGCGGTCAGTCTAGGCGCACATGCGGTACGCCGGGCTGCGTAAATGACCTTTCTTTTGTTTGAAATTCATGGGACTGCTTCAATCCCGAACACGACCTTATAGGCTTAAGGGATTTTATTTACTATTAGAACTCCTTGAACTTGTATTTAAGTTCACTATGTTATTTGATTGGTATTTCCTTGCGAGAAGATAGGTTTCTATGTATTAGTACATTTTATTAATTCTTATTCTTCAATGAGCCTAATAAGCTGAATTAAATTCAACAATGTGTTTATTATCCGAACCCTTGAGTATCTCAATTCAATGTCTGTTTTGCTGGATTTATATTTATTTATTCAATATATCGTTAGACATACTGTGTTCTAGGCTTAGGTTGTGAATTTGACTTGACTGTTTTTCATTGTAATTAATTGACCTCTTTCTTGATTAAGGCCTTCTCAATGGAGTTTTCCTTGTGCGAGTAAGTTTTTACCCTCATCTGGACAAATGTTTCTGACTAACAGGTTCTAGTTTAAGTATCAATATTGTAATTTATTATTTCTGTTTTTATTGTATATAGGACCCGTTGTTATAGATGGTTTCTGTGTTAAATATTCCATTTAGATCATGAGTCTGAAGTGCCAGTTTTCTGAATCAGTATTAATTGTCCTCAACATTTCGTTATGAAACTTGTTAATAAATGAACTTAAATTGCCCTTAAACTTATGCATTTTTGTTTGTTTGTAGTTGTAATTACATTTAACGAAGTTAATTAAATAGTTATAAGACTGTTAATCTTATAACTGTTGTTCTTACTTCATTTAAGATATCATCCGGTGGAATGCCTGTGTACCTGATTTTTTCGCTCTAGTATTGTCATTTACTTTTGATGATATATTGCTCTGGGGTTATAGCTTCAGTTAGTTTATCAATTTAGATTTATCCCTTATTGAAATGATATATGAATGTAAATCCGATAATCTTCATTCTGAAGATGACGTGATTCGTCTATTACATTCATCTTTTGCAAATAATTTAAAATGTTGTTTGTAATTTCAGATTCTTCGGGAGATATAGGTAATCAGATATTTTTTGGGGAGTTCATCATTTCTATTATTAGTATTTCAGGATAAACATTTGCTTTAACATAGACTATTGATCTATTCGGTGAAACTTGTTTAGTACGCGCAATACCTTCGCACTTATAGCTGGCACTTTATGAAATTTTTTTACTAGTTCTTTGTATCGGTGATGTCCTTCCTATTTTATCGATTATGACAGTGGTTTCCTGTGGGCTTGCGTGAAGTTTCCTTGTCAATTTATCAGTGATGAGTGTAGTTTCAGAGTCGGTATCAATAGGAAGACGAGCTTGATACATGACTGATTGTGATTTTACTGTATTCACTACGGTGACCAGCAAGGTCATTGTTTGTCTTCTCTTGGGTGACCTTGTAGTTTCTGGTCTAGTCATATGGTGTGTAATGATGAGCTAGCGTCTTCGTATAATGGAGTATGGTGTGTCTTGTTGCATACAGCCCTTCTTTCTGCGGCATGGGCTTGGCAAAATTATTTAAGACAGGTTGTACATGGCTGTAGTTTCTGCGTAACGGCTTTTGTTCGTTAATGGTGAGTTTCTTGAATTGGTCGCACATCCATAGCTTGTGATTTTCGTTGCAGTAGACACATAGGGGGTGAAATTGATTGAATTTACAATGTCTTCTTCCCTTCTTATTCGCCGTTGATGGTTGACATATTCTTACGAATTTCTTATCGGATGTGTGGGGTTGAGATTGAGTTTGTTGTTCTCTTATTTCAGTAACGTTGTCTAGAGCCGCTACTTCAGCCAGTGAGGATGTCCGTGTTGCGTCACTGCTTACGTGAGCGGGTGTGGTGTAAGTACTGATAGTGTGCGTTACTTACGTGGGCGCTGGACCATCTTTATAGATGTGGCTTCACTATTAGTTCTTTGGATTGCTTGATACTTACATACGTGAGTAGTTATGGAGGACGATGGTTGTAGTGGTGACGCTTGTAGGTAGAATAGTGAGCCGGTCGTAGAGACCGCGTGATTAGTACTAGCATAAGGAAGATGCGCGTCAAGTGCTGCTCTTAAATATTCTTCTACGAGCTTACGACGCCTGTAGCGCACCCGTGTTTGTTACTATGCTGATTATTATCGTGACATCACTAGGGTATAGCCTTGGAGAGTTCATCGGCATTGCTAGTCGGAATTATAATTTAATATTCAAGCATTCTGCGTACTGAGATCTTCCGAATTCGCTGAATTGTGTTCACAACGTAATGTATAGATGTTTATACCTCTCCCACTTTTGTATTTCGCCTTTAACTGCTTCAATCCGTAACAGATGCTATAATCTCCAGAACTTCACACCCAGTTGACTATCAATAAATGCAATAGTATCATGCCATTCAATAAAGCAAAATAGGAATTTGTTATCAATAGAAGGAATGACTTTTACAATATTACTATTTTAACAATTTTAGTTAGGTCTTTATAAAATACACATTTTTTAAATGTTATAAATTCAGATAATGTACACTTTAAAAATATACATATATTTACTTTTTGACGTACTCAACTTTTTAATCTACAATGTTTAAAGTGATGTATAGATACTTATTGGAATTGTTTATCAAATTATATTGCAACTTAGATATATTTCGATTTATTTATAATTGATTACTTTATTAGAATAGTAAAATATTTCTATTTAAATATTTTCAATTTTTAGTAAACGTTACAAGAGCTGTTAAATTGTAAACAATTTATTTATATTTATTTCATATAATTTGTTTGTATTTATTTATTGTTTGCAAATTATTATTTATATTATCGTGTTTGAATTTGCAATATTGTGTACTGAAAAATTACAAAATAGTCTATATGAATGAAATTTAAATTAAATTAATATAAATCTGAAAGTTTAATATACCGAACAATTTATTGTTTATTTATTATAATTATTATTTATTTAATACTATATAAATTTGTTTTTCAATAACAATTGATAAAAAATTTCTCAAAAAAATAATATCAATTTTTCTAAAATTTATGTTGATATAAAATGATTTCTAATTTTATTCTAATTTTACTAAGAAATATTATGGTGTAAAATTTGATCAAATTTAATTTAATTTTCTGGATTCTGTATAGGAACCATTATTATGGTCCAAATGCCCAAGGATTGAAAATAAACCAGCAGAAGAATGTGAGAAGAGTTCCGAGACGGCATATTTTTGGTACCGTACGACTCTGGACGCTGCACCATCTATTGAAGATGGTCAAGGCCTCAAGTGGTGGATAGTTTTATGTCTACTACTTAGTTGGACCATAGTTTTTTGTATTGTTATGAAAGGCATTCAGTCTTCGGGAAAGGTAAGTTTATTTTCAATAATAATTTTATTAGCAGCCTAAATAATAAATTCATTTATTATTGAATTATGTAAGTTTTCCTTATAATTACTTTGATTGAAAATTATAAAATTGCAAAATTAAGCCTTAAGAATTGTAGACCTCTTTATCAAATAAAAAGATTTTTACATATTTTACATATCAATACATCAACGCTAGGATATTCTTTTACAGTTTAATAAAATAACTGTATAATGTAGCTAAGCGAATTATATTAATTTAATATATCATTTGGTTCGTATAGCGATCATTATAAATTTTCAGGTGGTCTATTTTACCTCCATGTTTCCATATTTAGTACTCTCCATCTTTTTTGTGCGTGGAATCACACTGAAGGGTGCTGATGCAGGTCTTGCTTACATGTATACACCCAAGGTTTGTTTTTATATTATTATTTAGAATATATTTCACTATTATTATTAATTTCAAGTGTAATTTCAGTTAAGGCAGTATAACCACATTTGATTATATAAATATAATTAATTTTTTATTATTAAATATTTTAACTGTCTTTATATTATTACTAGATTTTATATAATTTTATTTTTATAACAAAATAAACATTAGCAAAAAATATAAATATTTTAATTAAAACAATTAATATATTTATATATTTTTTTAAATGTAAATGTAATTATAAATAAATAAATTAATATAAAACTAATTAATGGAAAAGAAGTAAGAAATATATTATTGTATTCATATATTTTTACTTATATTTATATAATTTATACTAATTGTTTTTCATATGTTAAGTTATGTTTTAAATTTTTTAAAATAGCGAAAACTAAAAGATAAAAATATTAAAAATTATTATAGTTTAAGAATACTACAGTATAATTTTTCAATGAGAAATGATTTTCTGATAATGTTCGTCGATCTATTTTGATATATCAAGGCAAGTTATACCGTATATTACATAAGTATGTTTAATTATATTATTTTCGTACACCAATTTATTAAAATATTAGACACAAAAAAATTAATTTTACCTCATATTCTTTAAAAATCGGCGATGATACTACCAATTTTTATGGAATAATCTATTTTGATTTCATGTAGAAATATAATTTATTAATAGAATTTATTAGACTTAGATTACATTTCCATTTTGTCTCATATATTGTTGGTAGAGGATTTTAGTGGTGGCTAGTTAAGACTATTTCTATTGAATCTTTAACTCTATTATATTTAAAATCAAATATACACATGTCATTCGTATGAATCACAAAAATTGTGTCTATTATATGTGTAAAGTAAGACATTTGTATTTTTGTCAAATATACAAATATTACGAACATTCCAGAAATTAGATAATCCAAAAATGTTAAAATTAAAAAGTGCGTCTAACAATGAATGCAAAATAATTTTTGGGAATTAATTTACTGTATTCTGTTATTTATATAATGTATATTGAATTAATTAAAAGGAAATTTTATTTTCACTGCATTAGTGAATTTATTTTTATACAAAAATAAAATAATTGATAAAAATTGAAATTAACTTTTAGCCCAGATTGCATACTAGACTCAATATTGTTACAGAAACAGTATTATATGTATAATAAGCAAACTGTAGCTAATATCACCTTTTTCAAACTTCTATATTAATTTTTGTAATTTTACATATTTAATAATTACTATTGCATAAAATAAAAAAATTTAAATAACGTTTTTAATACTATTAATGATTATATTTAATTATTTTTTTATTTTTGAAAATTTAATTTAAGTCATTGTATTTAAGGTTGAAAAGCTGCTGGAGCCAACAGTTTGGTTGGCTTTTGGATCCTTAATAGCATTTGGAAGTTATAATACACCCAATAATCATTGTGTGCGAAATGTAATTCTTGTCAGTGTATGCAATGCATTTACTGCTGTTTATGCCAGTGTCGTGATCTTTGCAATTCTAGGGTTTAAAGCAATGTCTAATGTAGACAAGTGCCTTGAAAAGTATGATATCAAATTACTATAATACCATTTTATAACTTTAGCTTTTTGGTTGATGACTTATAAACAATAGAAACTAATTTTTATAAAATAAACTTAAAAAATGTGTACTTTTGTTTTTTTTACGATAGTTGAAATTACAAAAAATAAACTTGACAATATATTCATGTACGAATTTGTTTAAAATAAAAAAAAACTAAGATAGTGATAATTACTTGAATAAATAAATATGCTAAATTATTTATATTTCAGTAATCGGAACTTACTTATTGAATACGGCCTTTTAGAATCAAATACTACGAATCAACAATATAATCTTACGACTTATAATTTAAATACATCTATAATTAATTTAACTTTGAGTAGATGTAGTTTGAGCGAGCAATTAGATAATGTATGTATAATTTATAAATAAGACCTATATCATAATATTATTTTATTTAAATGTAATTGCAATTTGATTAAATAAAACTTAAATGGGATATAGGCGGCTGAAGTAACAGGATTAGTATTTATAGTATTCACACAAGCAATTATGGAGCTTCCTGGCGCCCCATTTTGGTCTTGTATATTTTTTATGATGCTTTTGGCACTTGGATTAGGATCCCAGATTGGACTTCTTGAAGGAATGTTATGTGTTGTTTTTGAAATAGACCTTTTCAAAAGAATAAAGAAACAATATATCACAGGTATCAAATATTATTTTATAATGTTAGAAATTCTGTGAGAATCGTTTTCTAGCATATAAGTAAACGTAAAATCCTCTTATTCTTTTTAAAATATTAAGTCTGTTATAAAAACTTGTATAAATATTGTTCTTTTAATGCTACTTATAATATTTATTCATAAATTATAGCTGAAAGTGTATATTATATTATTTATAATTATAAAATTTTTAGTAAATGACAGACCATTTTTAATAAATTAAGAATAAAATACTGTATTATTAATTTTGAATTAATTACATAGCTTTTTTATCAACAGTTTGTAAACACCTGTTCGAGATTGATGCAGTCCCATGAATTTCAAACAAAAGAAAGGTCATACGCGCTGTCCGACGTACCGCATGTGCGCCTAGACTGACCCGCACGTGCGGACCGGGACGGGTACTCGAGCGAATGTTTACAAACAAAACTCGTCAAGTCCGAGCAAGTTTACGACCCGAAATATAATAAACTGAAAAATCACCCAAGGGTATTACTTCTACTTTTTTCTCGTCGAACATTCTCGAAGGTTCTAGATTTTTCCTTCGACGCCTCGTGTAAGAATTAGTGCAACAACGACGATGCTTTGTTGCCAGCTAAGTGAGCCGCCGCGTGCCTATATAAGGGACACACGCGGTGCGTCTCGCTCTCTTGCTGAAGATAGCTCTCTCTCTGAGAATCATCTCTTGCTGAACCACCTTCGCTCAACTGCGCTTGCAGCCAACCTCTTGCCGTGACCCGACCGCAGTGACCGACCATAGTGAACCAATTCAATCATCTACCAGTAGAAGCCATGGCACACGGATCTCGATCTGCCCTCAGCAGGACCGCCATGGAACGCTCGGTATTTTCAGCAGAGCCGCCACAGAACGATCAAGCCTTCGGTTCGTGCGCGTATTCAAAAGGCTCATACGCTCATTGTAATATCACTTCGCGCTCACTCTAGTGTAACTGCCGCTCAGTGTTTTAGTATACTGTGAAGACGACACGTGGCCACACATATTCGGCAACATAGTTAAGAATACACGTGTTCATAAGAATAAGAAGTCGGCAGTTTAAATTGTGATCACAGTGAAGCCAATGGAACAGTAATCAAAAGGGGCGTCACTCACACAGCAGTAAAACACCTTGCCTTCATTTTACAAGGTACATCTTTTTATATTAATTAATCAGTTAGTCACACCTCGCACACAACAAGTCGGGCAAACTTACACTCTTCCAAAGAACACTTCAGCCCATTCAGACTCGCTAGCAGAGAGAAGGCAAGATTAAGCTCATCTGAAGAACACTTCGGAACCAATCAGGCTCTCTAGCAGAAATAAGGCACGTCAGAGAGAGGACAAACGTACGTACACTCTTTCGAAGAATGCTCTCCCGAAGAACACTTCGGACCACGCAGGCTCGCTAGCGGAGAGAGGGTAAGATTACGCTCTTCTGAAGAACATTTCGGAACCATTCAGGCTTTCTAGCAAAAATAAGGCAAGCCAGAGACAGGACAAA